GGAGATGGAAGAGTTTGCTAAAAATCAGCAGATAGCAGCAGCAATAATGCTAATAAAATAGCAGAAATGGATTTCCATGTTTTTCAAAAGAAGAAAGTTATTGAGAGATTTTGCAGGAAAGATGTGAATTAGAAGGACTCAGTTCTTTGGAGATCATCATTTCACACTTTTAAGAGTTAATTAAGGTTGCCGTGCCTCAAAGTGACTATTAGGTGTTCAAAGTTGTAAGGGTAAGACACATTGAGTTTACATGAAGTAACAGATGATATTTTGAGGACACACGGAGAAGGAAGACAAGAACCTCAACTTGCACATAGCCAGGCTTAGAGCACACCTCAACCAGATATGCTGTGCTCAGCCCCAGCGAGGCTGGGACTGATTTCACTTGCTTACTATCTGGTTGCTGTCACACAGCTACAATGTGATGTCCCTTGTATGATCCCTAGACATTATTATATAATCTCTGGACAATGTATCAAGAGACCATGGGTGATGTGGTAGGAATCTGAACCGAAAACTAAAAATCTAGGTAAAGTGAGTTTTTAAGGACAATATTTGCTATTTATGCATAAATATGCTAAAATATACAACTAACTCCATTTGAACAAATGATATCTTTTCCTTTGGAAATGTGAAGGCCAAATACACAGAGAGAGGTAGTCTTCTGTGGGGGATAAAGGTAGTTAGCAGAAATAATGAATTCTAGCCACAGCATTTATCTCTTTCATTCTGCTACAATATCTGTAAGACAGCTATTGTCTTCAAATGCAGTATTCAAATGTTCACTCCATTTTCCACTATAGTGCTCCTCAGCTAACTTTCAGCCTCTATGGTAGAGAAGATTCAGCAGCTTTCAAGTAACTCATAGGCCTCAAGGTTCAGAGGACATTAGGTGCTCTCTGATCAAGGCACTGTACTTCGCCGTTGTTACCATATGACTATGATAGGAGGCACTTCTGTTGAGACCGCTGGGCCTCAGGATTCTGGACAGGAAATAGGGATTCGTTGCTTATATTTCAAATCAGCAAACTTAGCTGAGAATTAAGGTGGTTCTAGGTTAGCCCCAACTTCCACCTCCATCCCAGAAACTCAGCCAAGAGCAGTGGAAGAATTCATAGGTACTCCCACCAATATTGAAGTATCCTTCATCTCCTTCCACTCTATCCCTTCTCCCATCTTAGAGAGTTTTTCATACATGTGTGCTTGACTGAAAAGGGGACGGTTAGTATCTGCCTGTTGATGTCTTGTCTTTTAAACCTTTTCATCTTACATCTGATGGTGATACTTTATGATTTAACACCCATTTGAGGGCAAAAGGGACCTCATGTCTTTCAGCCCAAATGAGGAGTAACAAAAATCTTCCCCAGGTCCTCTATCCATGTCTCTGCCTTTTTTCTTATTTTTCTTTTGGGTCTTGTCTTCCCTACCATTCATATCCTCTGCTGTCAAAGTCTGATGCTGACTGTGGTCAGGTCACTTATTTATCCTAAAAGCTTATCAGTTTCTCACTGTCCACAGAATAGTACTTAATCTCATTGTTAAAAAAATCCAAAGTCCTAAGTGATCTGACCCCAATTTGCCTTCCCAATTCTATTTTCCACCATTCTATTTAATTTCTGTTCTCCTGGCAAATTAGAATTTCTTAATGTTTTTCGTATGTTTTTTTGCTTCAATATCCTATCAAGTGCCAGAAATGTTTTATGCTATCATTTTCACATGCTCAAATTCTAATGAATTTTCAAGGTTCCTTAAATTTCTCCCCAAATTATCAACACACATGCACATGTGTGCACGCACGCACACACACATACACAGACACTCTGTTGTCCAAACTACCATAACTCTTTCCTTATTCTATTAAGCACTTATTGTTTATCTTATGTTGTACTAATTTAAGCTGGAGTAGTCCCACTAGAGTAAGTTTTAATTTTCTTCAGTTCAAACAAGTTTCTCATTGATTATGTATCCCCAGAAAAAAAAAAAATGTAGATGTATAAAGTATAAGATAGGTCACACATCTGTGATCAAAATGATTAACTTTAGATTTGAATTCTTACCTAAATAGATTATTGTTTTATTGAACCACAAGGAGAAAATTTTGATTTTGAAGAAGATTTATTTTACCTAAGCCAGCTGTATCATTATGTATGTGCACATGCAAAGCGGCACACACAACATTGCAGAACATGTAAATGATTGATTTTGTTTTAAATAATATCAAACTAGGCAACTATGTTCTAATTTTGGGAAATTTTAGGCAAGAATAGGAAGAAATAAAAGACTATTTTGTATTTTCAGTGGTTAATTTGCTTTGGCTTTTAGGAGAAAGGAGACAATTTCAATTTAATGTCTTCATTAATCAACTTCAGGTCAGCCTCACCATGTGCTGCATTTATTTAAACTTATTGCCCAGCAAGCTAGCAATTTCAAGAGTGTTTAGCATTGTCAGTCAGTCCGCCAGTGTGATATGAAAGAAGCAATGAATGTCACTTTTAGGGCATCTGCTTTCCTGTACAGTTTCAGTTTATTATTAAACCCATTTGCTTCACTGATGAAATCGTAATGAACCATATTTTCACACACTTGATCAACTAAAATTCGCCCATAGAGCTTTTATAAGAACCTAAATTTAGCAAGGTGAAAATGAAAGTTAACATTATGTATTTTAGTCTTTAAATCTGTGATATGAACTTCATGAAGTTAAAGGATGATTTTTAGTTAAAAGAAAGAAGGTCCTGGAATAAAAAAGTAATAATGTCAACAAAAGAGGGAGTGGTTACATTGAGTCATGAGGGAAATAAAGAAAGAGGAAAACAGTAGAATTGGTTTGGGGTTAGTCAATAAAATAACTGAACAGATGATACAATCAAGACTTCTAGATAGTGAAAGAAGGAAAGAAGATCAGTGAATAATGTCAATAAAAAGATGACCAGTGGAGAAAAAAAGAAAAACACAATATTTCAAGGGCTTTATAAAGACCCAGAAAAAATATCAGAGGTTTGGAACTGAGAATTTAGTTTATTACTTTTTTTTTTTTAAAGAAGTATTAAAGTTATCGTTTACCTCTGTCACCTCAAAATTTAATTATATCACCAAGGAAGTGAGTACTATAACACATGCAATAATGGACCTAAGATTCTTTAAAAGATCTTTTCACTGCATATAAGCCCTAAAAAATTTCTGTCATACAAGAGTAAGAAAAACAGAAGCCAAAGTAACCCTAAAAACTAAGCATCTGTTTAAAGAATTTTAAAACACATTTTGTTGTTGTTTTGTAAATTGTTTACTCCACAGTAGTCTATCATATTGAAATAGAGAAATAATTTATTAAGGACTATTCATGATGCCTAATAATAATTAGTTTCCTTTACTATTTACTCTGAAAGACAAATTTTTGTCTCTATTGTTTCTTTTCACGGAAAGATGAGTAGAAAGGTCATTTTACCATATTGAACAGATGGATGAAATAATTGAGTGATATTGAATGCTGTACCTACCGGCTAATCTAGCAAAATGGATTTAATATTTCTATAGGGCTAAGGGGCATTATGTTATTTCATTGCTTTTGTTTCTGGAAACTAGAGCTTAAATATTTAAAATAAGTCAAAGTAGGCATTGAAAAAAAGTATTGAAAAGTCATGAGGCATGTTCCCTGTTCTTCAAGGCTTTCAATTAAGAGCTCTTTCATTTCTTGGGATCTAATACACCCAGTTTCATTTTGTATCATCAAATCACGTTTCAATGATTTTAGTATGATTATGGCATATTTGATTTAGAAATGTAAACTAGATGAACTGACAAGAAAGTATGCTACTGAAAATAAATTATTACAAAGAATCCATGTAACCGCTCTGGGTTGCAATTTCCCAGGATAAGTATTTCTGGCAGAAAATTTAAACAAAAATAATCAGGAAATTTTTTGACCACTCATGTCTTTTATTTAGTCAAAAATCTCCTGTGAAAGTAAGGCTTGTCTTGCAAAGTATTCCTGAAGGAAATTGACTCAGAGGGCAGCATGACTTATGGTACTGTTACTGTGTATAAACAGTTCTGTCTTATGAGTAATGCTGGGTGAGGTCATGATTTTTAAGCACTTATGGTTTTTGTTGAATCCAATGAGTTTGACAAAAAATACTTTAGGAAGAAGTCAAACTAACATGCTACATTCAAAGGGCTTTACACTTCTTACATATTTACTAATATTGATGATTTTCACACTTTGAATTTTGAAGAAACTTAAGAAATCTCTCAGGTAACAGGCATCGTGGCAGCATTCTGTAACATAGATGAGGGTCCGGGAATTGTGTGATTTTGGTTTAGTCATTTCCTCCAGAGGTCAGTTTCTTGTATTATAAAATGAGGAAGTTGAGGTATTTGATACGTGAGGTCTCTTACAGGCCTATATATCTGAAGTTCAAGTTGTTTTATCTATGAACACAAGTTTTAAGGCAATTTTAATAAACTTTTAATTTTAGAATAAATGCAGATTTACAGAAAAATTGTGAAGGTAGTATATACTGTGACTCCTGCTGTTCACATCTTACATTTGGTATATTTGTCATAACTAATGAAACAATTAATACATTATTATTAACTGAGGTCCATACTTTAATTAGATTTCCTTTATTTTTACCTAATGGTCTTTCTATATTCCAGAATTCCATCCAGGATATCATATTATATTTAGTTGTCATATCTCCTTGGGCTCTCTTGGTTGTTACAATTTCTCAGACTTCCTTGTTTTTATTATTTTTTTAATTTTTAAACTTTTAATTTTTAAAATAATTTATGGATACATAGTAGGTGTGTACATTTTGCAGCACTGTTTACAATAGCTAAGATTTGGAAGCAGCCTAAGTGTCTGTCAGTAGATGAATGAATAAATAAAACATGGTACATTTACACAATGGAGTATTCAGTCATTAAAAACAAAATGAGATCCAGTCATTTGCAGCAACATTTAGAGAACTGGAGATCATTACGTTAAGTGAAATAACCCAGGCACGGAAAGACTTCCTTATTTTTGATGACATTGGCAGTTTTGAGAAGTATGGGCTAGGTATTTTGTTGAATTTGTCTCTATTGGAATTTGTCTGAGATATTTCTTATGCCTGGTTTGGGATTGTAGATCTTTGGAAAAAAAATTTGCAGAGGTCAGGTGTTATTCTTATCACATCACATCGAAGGTACATACTGTCAACATGATTTATCACTGATGATATTGGCTTTGATGACCTGGCTGAGATAGTGGTTTTCAGATTTCTTCACTGTAAAGTTAACTATTTTTTCTTCCCCCTTCCTATATTCTGCTCTTTGGAGGAAATTTTTATGTGCAGCCCATACTTCAGAAGTAGAGAGCTCTGCTCTATCTTCTTGAGGGTTCAGTATCTACAGAAATTCTTTGCAATTCTAGTGACTGTGATTAGTCAGTGACTATGATTAGACTATGATTAAACTATGACTAGAGGCACTCAGTTTTAGCTTGTGCTTCTGAAATGTGAACTTTACAAGTGCGTTTAGTCCTCTACTCGCCATGATGGAAGCATGAAGGGATTTTTTCTGCACTGTGCACTGGGAGAAGCACGTTGAACTCCTGGAGGTAAAACTCATAAAAATGTGGGGGCTCTCCATCACTGCTCCCCATCCTGGAGTTTTGAACTCTCAGACTTGTCTACAATGAGCCTCTAGCAATCAATTACAGTTTAGGTTTTTCTATTCTGGTTCTAGTTTCCGTGGAAGTTTCTGCTTCAATAAGCCATGACTCCTTGCATGCACCTGTCAATCCAATTTTGGGGTCAGTGATTTGCCCTGACACCTGAATTCTCTGACAGCTCTAGGACAAGTTGATGATTTTTGAGCTTGTTCTGCTTTTTACTTGTTAGGATAAAGTAACAACATTAAAGTTCCTTATATGATGGGCCCAAATTGAAAGTTTAAAAAACGTTGAACATTTCTTTTAGGAAAAAGTTCCCTCCATTTATCTGACAAGATTTGTACTTCTCCTTAACTTTTGAGGGATAATTTCACTGAATGTAGACTTATAAGTTGGTGGTTCTTATCTTTCTATACTAAAGATTTTGTCATACTCTCTTCTTCCTTGTATGTTTTTTTCTGAGCAGTGTACTATTTTTCTTATCCCTGTTCCTCCAGAAATCAAGTGCTTTATTTTGTCTTAGGCTTCTCTAAAGATGTGGTTTTTTTTTTTTTTTTTTTGGTCTTTGGTTTTCCACAGCTTGAATATGACAGGTCTAATTATATGTATCTGTGGTTTTGTGGTTTTTTAAAAAATATTTATGCTTATTGGAGCTTCCAAAATCTGTAATATTTTGTTTGCTGTCAATTTTGGAAGGTTCTCAACTATTGTTTCTTCAAATATTTCTTCTGCTCCATTTTTTCTTTTTCTCCTTCGGATATTCCAGTTATACTCCAATAACTTTTGATATTATCTCACAGTTGTTGGATTGTCTGTTCTTTTAAAATTCTTTTTCAATTTATTTTAGTTTAGAAAGTTTCAACTGATTTATCTTCAAGCTGCCTCTTTATTTCCCTGGCTGTGTTGAGTACACTGAAGAGTCCATCAAAGAAAGTATTCATTTATTTTACTATGTTTTTTACTTCTAGTACTTCCTTTTGATTCTTTCTTAGGATTTCCATATCTCAACTTATTTTACCTATCTGCTCTTGAAAATTATCTACTGTTTCATTAGAGCCCTTACCATAATATTTACTATTATTTGAAATGCCCAGTCTGATAATTTCAATACCTATCTCAACCATGAGTCTAATTATGATGATTCTTTGTTTCATCAAATGGCATTTTGTATTGCCTTTTGACCTTCCTTATAATTTTTTGGTGAAAGCCAAACATGTATCAGGTAACACAAATTAAAGTAAATAGGGCCTTCGTGTGAAGATTTATGGTAATCTGGCTAGGAATTGGACTGTGTTTAGCACATGCTATAGTTATAGTTGCCAGATGCTTCATGTTCTTCTAGTGCCCTTGTATTTGTCTCCTTTTATCTTGAGTTTCTCTGATTGCTTCTAGTCAGAGGGAGTCTGTGTTGTAGCCCTGTTAGATGTAATCTACAGTTACACTGGAATTGTATTTGTGTGGTGGTAAGGTGTGGAAGAGTAGGAGCATTATATAATCTTGCAATTATATCTTTTAGTGGGTTCGTATCCCTGGGGTGTGACCTTCACAAGTGTTTCTCTGGTGGTATAGATTAATTTTCCTTAGACTCCCACTCCTTTCCCAAACTACAGTGCTCCCAATTCATGTCCCTGAAGCCCTTGTCCTTGATAACTATGTATTTCCCCTCTTTGGTGAAATGGAAGGGTTAGCGTGGGCTGAAACAAGAGAAATTTCCTTCTCCATGCTGGGGTAAGTTTCCAGCACAGCCTTTTCTTCTGAAGCGTGTGCCTTTGTTAAGGAGAATGCTCTGAGTGTATTTCACAATGATTCATTTTTCTCTCCACTTTACAGAGCCATAGGGGACTTTTCTCAGGTCTTCACCATCAGAATCTGGTAGAGCTCCTAGAGGTAAAGCCTATTAAAGTGTGGGCCACTTCTAAGACTATGTTTCTCAGTCTTAAGATAGTCTACTGTCACACAATTAATCAAAAATTACCATTTAAGTGTTTCTTTGTTTTTAGCACTTTAACAGTTTCTGCTCCAGATAAGCAGATATTGGTCTCTGGTGCATCTGTTTTCCCAAATTTCAGGATGATAGTTTGCCTTGCAACTTCAGCTCTCTGAAGGGTCTGAGAAAAGACATTTATTTTAAGTTTGTCCAATTTTCTCTTATTGTAATATCAATAGTGACAGCCTCTATGCTGTCAAAACTAAAACCAGAAGTCTAGCTTTCCATAATCGTTAGACATGGAAGGGAAAGATTCTGTTAGTAATTTATAAAGAAAAACATTTTTTAAAGTCAATAAAAAGGTACTACTTAGTATTAAACTTAGAGACATAATGTTAAAATGACTAAAGAGTAGTCTCTTATTTTAATCAACAATGAAAACACATTGTTGAAAGAGAGAGAGAAACAGAGAAACAGAGACAGGGACAAAGAAACGGAGTGGGGAGAGAGAGAGAGAGAGATAATTTAACACAGCAGTATTCCTCTCATCTAAACAAGAACTATTTTGCCTCTAGCACTCTTTTCCTGTTACCTTTGAAATGACTGTATAATTATGTCACTTTTTGGACTCCTGAGAATAAAAATTTAATAAGCTTGAATACACTTGGCCATTTTGAATGAGAGCATATTCTAAAGTCCTAATTTGGAAGGTATTACATCAAATAGTATGTGAGCTTTCATTGTTAATTAGCTTTGACTACACCAAGCTTATCTACTCCATACAATAAGAGCCCCAGATATTAAAAGTTTCAACTAAATACTTCAGGAAATTCTGATGATGTAAATGAAGTCATAAGATAATTATATGAGTAAACATTTTCTTGTTATTAGTATAACAAATCATTCCAATTACCCTGAATTAAATGAATACATGTTCTAACATTTCAACAACCTGCATGACGTCATTGCTATAGCACTATGTATGATTTTCATGTTACATACTCTTGAGACACTTTCCAGAGTATATATGGTCATGTTATAGCATGGTAAGTATTACAATGTGTATGTCTATACGCCTATGTAATAATTTTTATCATGCTCTACTGGTCTTCAATGGAGTCTGGATGATTTCAGGTTTGTGAAAGGAGTATTTAAATTTTTCTCTGGATACTATGCTAATATATCTAAGATATTTATTTTATAAATTTTTTCAACTTTATCTTACTCTTTTTCTGAAATAAGAATCAGGAGGTACATGTGCAGATTTGTTACAAAGGTATATTGCTTGAAGTTGAGGTTTGGAATAAACACGAATCACCCAGATAGTAAGCATAGTGCCCAATAAGCAGTTTTTCAATCCTTTCCTCCCTCCTTTCCTCCTCTCTCTTGTATTCCCCAATGTCTATTATTCCCATCTTTATGTCTATGGGTACCCAGCGATTAGCTCCCACTTATAAGAGAGGATGTGTGGTATTTGGTTTCTGCATTTGTTCACTTAAGATAATGGCTTCTAGCTGTATCCATGTTGCTGAACAAACATGATTTCATTGTTTTTATGGCTGCATGGTATTTCATGGCATATATATACCACATGTTCTTTATCCAGTCCACCATTGATGGACACCTGAGTTGATTCCATGTCTTTGCTATTGTAAATAGCACTGTAATGAACATACAGATGCATGTATTTTTTTTTTAGAACAGTTTATTTTCCTTTCGGTATATTCAGTAATAGGATCGCTGGGTCAAATTATAGTTCAACTCTTAGTTTATTGAGAAATCTCCAAACTGCTCTCTACAGTGGCTGAACTGATTTACATTTCTACAAACAGTGTCTAAATGCTCCCTTTTCTCCACAGCCTTTCCAACATCTGTTATTTCTTAATTTTTTAACAAAAGTCATTCTGACTGGTGTGAGATGGTATTTCATTGTGGTTTTGATTTGCATTTCTCTGATGAATAGTGATGATGAGTATTTCTTCCTATGTTTCTTGGCCACTTGCATAATTTCTTTTGAGATGTAGACACATCTCCTGTCCTTCATGTCCTTGTCCAATTTTTAATGGGGTTATTTTATTCTGGCTTATTGATTTGTTTAAATGTGTTATATATTCTGGATATTAGAACTTTGTCAGATGCATAGTTTGCTAATATTTTCTCCAATTCTATAGATTGTCTGTTTGCTCTGTTGATAGCTTGTGCTCTGCACAGAAACTCTCTAGTTTAATTAGATCCCATTTGTCAATGTTTTTGTTGCAAGTGCTTTTAAGGACTTAGCCATAAATACTTTGTCAAGGCTAATATTGAGAATGATATTTCCCAGCTTTTCACCTGGAATTTTTATACTTTGTAATATTATATTTAAAGACTAATTCATATTGAGTTAATATTTGCATATGGTGATAGATCATGGTCCAGTTTCATTCTTCTGCATATGGATAGGCAGTTATTCCAGCACCATTTATTAAATAGGAAGTCTTTTCCCCATTGTTCATTTTTATTGGACTTGTCTAAGATCAGATGGTTGTAGGTGTGTGGCTTTATTTCTGGATTCTTTATTCTATTTCATTAGTCTATGCATCTGTTTTTGTACCAGTACCATGCTGTTTTGGTTACTATAGTCTTATAGTATAGTTTAAAGTTGGGTGATGTGATGCTACTGGCTTTGTTCTTTTTCTGTAGGATTGCTTTGGTGATTTGGGCTCTTTCTGGTTCCCTGTAAATTTAAGAATAGTTTTTCCTAGGTCTGTGAAAAATGATGTTGGTAATTCGATAGGAATACCACTGAATCTATAAATGGTTTTGGACAATATTACCATTTTAACTATCTTGATTCTTCCAATCTGTGAGCATAAAATATTTTTCTACTTATTTTTGTCATCCCTCATTTCTTTCAGCAGTGCTTTGTAGTTCTCTTTGTAGATCTCTTTCACCTCCTTCATTAGCTTTCTAGGTATTTTATTCTTTTTGTGGCTATTGCAAATGATATTGCATTCCTAATTTGGCTCTCAGCTTGAAT